GATGTCCAAGTGTCATTTTCTTAGTATTTAGAAGTCCTCAGAGTTTCATGAATATGTGGCTGTGCCCTTTTGTCAATTTTGAAAAAGGATATAGCCATTATCTTGTCAAATGTCCCTTCTGCCCATTTTTCTGTCTTCACTGTTATGGATTGTAATATGTTAGGTCATCTCACAGATCCTCTCTCTCTCTCTCTATTTATCTATCTATCTATCTACAGTGGTACCTTGGTTCATGAACTTAATTCTTTTCTTTCCATGATTCTGGTCCCAGAATTCATTGCACGATTCTGGTTGCATAGTATATACTTGCAACTCAGCTGCAGCCAGCATTAGGGATTGAATTCTGTGAAGAGAATCGTGGGTAGAATTAAGTTCATGCACCAAGGTATCACTGTATATCCAGATAGGTGGAGAGGTAGATAGATAACAATATAGGTATAGGTATCTTGCTTCCTGATTTTTTCTAATCTTTCAGCTGTCCATATTTCTGTGTAATAACTTCAGTCTACCTGTCTGCCAGTATACTAGTCTTTTCAGCGAAGACCAACATATTGCTAAATACATCTAGTAGGAAGTCTTGGTTGTCATATTTCTAGTTATAGAATTTCTATTTCATTCTCTCTGATGGATTTCAGCTCACTAGTAAAGTCTTCCGTATTGTCAGTTTTTTAAGAAAAAATAAAAACAGTTATTTTAAAAATATATTTCTGGTTACCCCTGGCCTAGATTTGGTTACCCTAGCCTGGTTCTGTTGTTTGTTTTGGCTGTTCCTTAGAGCTGGAATGTTTAGTATTTGCTGATTGGATGCAGCACATTGCATTTAAAAGTTGTTATCTGGATGATACTGTCTTTCTCTAGACATATTTCATCTTATCTATTTTGGTAAGAAACTAGAGTAAGTAAAGATGACCTCCATCTCTGTGGAACTTAGCTTGATGGAGATCAGGCTGGAATTGTGTAAGCCTTACTCTCACCCTCATGGTTTTCTTCTCTGAAGCATACAGCCTTTCAGAGATCCAAATGAGTCTCTGCATGTTTACTAGTAGTACTCCTTGGTGGGTCCTAAGCTTGAGACCGCTGTCCCAGTGATAACTTTTCTGTATAGCTGCACCCTTGTGTATAGACCTTAAGTAGTAGCAAATCCATAAGGTGAAATTCAGGGCTGCGTGTGGGGCTCATCCTGTTTCACTGCCTGTCTTCCAAGGATCCTGGCCCTCAAGCCCTTGAACTCTTTTCAAGAACTTCCCTCATTCTGTTTAAAATTTAACAACAGGAAAGTACAGAAGAATGAAATACCAAAACAAAAGGAAAAATACGCTTACCAGGAACGCCTGCTCTCACTGAAAGGACTAACCTTATAGGGCGTGCTCTTCACTCTAAGCTTGCACGTGGTGAGCGTGGTTCCCTCCTGTTTTGGGGAGGTATCGACATTTATGAAGCTATACCTTGTCCACTGGAAAAACCCTTGTCATTGTTATGATAGTATACATGAACCACTTTGCAAATAGTTGTACAAGATGAAAGAGTAAAAATTGCTTCTTAAGAATTCCTCATTGCCGAGTGCCAGTGAAAGCTAGCTATAAGAGTCATAGTACTACTTACTAAAATTTAGTAGAGATTTACTACAAGCAAGATTCTGTGTTAGATGCTTTATGTAGTTTATCTCATTTAATACTAAGATGTTGCGGTGGTAAGGACGACTACTGTACTGCCATTCAGCACTTGGGGAAGTTGAGTCTTAAAGAGCTTAAGTCAACTTCAGCAAGGTTCAGAGCCTGGAAACAGATGGCTCAAGGAAGTAGGAATTCATATTTTTCTAACTCATTTCCAACATTTTGCCCTCATTAGACAGAACTGGTCTCCTGGTCTCTGGAATTTTGAGGACCTGTCCTTAAAGTGGGCACTTTGTAGTGCGAGGGCTTTGTATGCAAATAATTTCCCTGCTGAAGACATTTCTCTCAAGCATTTCCACATTCTTCCTGCTCCTGCTCAGCCTCACTTTGATGTATGTATAACACTAAAATGCTTCCATTTATAACTTCTATGGCAAATCAGTAAGTTTTTTTGTTTTTTTTTAATAAAGCTTTATGTAGGGACAGGAAGAAGTTAGTGGTGGGGCTTTATTTTTGGAGGATTAGGTTGGCAGGGCGGGGTGTGGGGAGAAGTACTTTCTGCAGTGTCAGATGTATGAGTTATAGGAAATGATAGCTCAGCCAGCAGCTCGGAGCTCTCCAATGAGTCAGCATTGAGTCTAGTTTGCTGTGAGACCCAGGCTTGCAAGTGAGCCCCTGACTTCCCTGCTCTCTCCTGGCCCTGGAGATTCAGCCTCCCCTGTGGGAGCCATTCAGTTACCTGTCCTGGAAGAAGAAGCTCCAAAGAGCTGTGTTTTCACTTTCCTGCAGCTATTTCCACGTCTCCTTGGGAATAATGGGTGGTTCTGATTCTGTCTCCTGATGCCCAGCAGACAGCTCTAGTGACCTTGCATCTAGAGGATGGAGTTTAGGATTGGTGCAGAATCTAGCGCTCAGGGAGACATATTGTCCTTCAACACTGCTTCACCTTTCTAGGTCTTTAAAAAAGGCAGAGCACTGTGGAGAAGCCAGACGAGGAAATGCTGCTTCGGAGGAAGTGGCAGGCAGAAAAAGCCGTCTTCTCACAACCACTGAGAACGTGTGCGCGTGGCAGAAAGAGCAGCACGGAGCCAGCATGGTTCTTGGGTCGGGATGGTAGTCTCTACTTTAGTAATCGTTTTAACTTCATTTTCGGGTTTTGATAAATCGGTGCAAGTTGTAAAGTCTGTTCTATGTGTAATCCATTACAATTTCAAAGTAACTATTTTATTTGTGAGGAGAAACATGAACCAGATCACCTTTATATTTTAGGACATCTTTCCCCAGACTTTGCCCAGGCTTTTTAAATTTTTATTTTTATTGGTACATGTTTGGAGTACGTAATGATGACATTCATCATGGGGAGCTGATCCATGCACGTAACACATCTTAACTCTTTTTAGTTCTCCTTTCTCTCCCCTCCACCTGTTGCATTCTTACTTGCAAAATTGCTCAGACTTTTAAGGCCAATCGGGTCATACATTGCTATGTACTATCTTTGCTCAGAGGCTTTGGCATGCCGAGTTTGTAGTTCATTTTCTTCATAAGCAGAAGTGCTATTATCCCCATTTTACAGATAAGGAAACTAATGACCAACAAGGTTGAAGGAACTTTCCCAGATCAACGAGCTAGTAGGTAGTGGAGTTTCATCCGCACCAGATGACTTCGAGGTCCATTCCACTTTCAACTTGAGTACAAAAAGATGCTGTTGTAGGCTTCAGTCCACCATGCTAAAGACATTTTAATGTGTTAACTTGCTGCTGGATCAATTATCCATTAAAAAAATAATTGTATTGCAATATTATTATCTCCTTGCAAAACTAAGATTCTACAGCCAAATCACCTTTATATTTGATTTGACTTCTACTCCAGTTAGAGAAATCCCGCTTAGCAGGGGTGTACATGCACCTGTGTGTTTGATTTTAAGTAGACAAAAGCAGCACAGTAAGTACTCGGTTGAGTGTTTGGATCCCCCCAGAATCTGAAGTAATTCTTTACTGTTCTTTATGATTTCCATGAAAATGCATAGGTGTATGGGATTGCCAGTAAGCTAAATGTTTTGCTGTATGGTACAGTGGCTGGAAGTGACAGTTTTGGCTAAGGACAGGGTGGTGTTGTTACAAAATGAACCACTAACAGTTTCCTGCAAATGACCATCACATTGGCCCAGCAGAGCCCTAACTTCCTTTTTTAATAAGTTGATGGTGTTTAAAGCACTTTGAATTTTTTATTGTGATTATTATACAATTTGATGCTCTGTTTTTTGGCTTTATTGAAGAATTGATGTGCAATAAACTGTACATATTTAATGTTCAATTTCTCATCTGTGAAACATGACTTCAATAGATGATGAATAAATCCATCCCCCTCCAAAGTCTTTCTGTCACGTTGTATATTTGAAAGACAAAACCCAATCATTTATTTTCTCCGTCTAATCTGTAGAAACAAACTGGAGAGGGGGGCCTCAGCTGATTGAGTCTGGATTCTCATCTTACCCTCACAAGCTCCATGAAATTTATCACATCCCCTTCATTTTTCTAGCTCTTAAGTTTTCTCATCTGAAAAATTGAGGGGGTTGGACTAGATGGTCCCTCAGGTGCCCTGCAGCACTAAAGTTCAATAAAGCTAAGAGGCCAGGCATGCTTAGGATATTGGCTCGTGTCCAGATGGTTTTATGTAATAATGTAGATGTCCCCAGTGGCTGGGGGTCAGCTGTGCTGCCTTGGCTCTCCCTGCTTTGCTTGATTGGTCATCATGAAATCATTGCATTTCTCTCCCTTCTCTTTCACCCTGACTCAAGGTCACTGTGTCCTTGTTTCCCTGATGGTCTTGCACAGCTCCTGGAACCACTCTTCCTGAGAACTTAGAGCTAAGGCTCGGTTATGATGATGGGAACACAGGAAAACGTTAAGCAAAGAGCCTGCAAGGGCTGACGGGCCATCAGCTCTCTGGATAGCTTACAGATAGCTTGGGCATTTTACTGGGGGGCAGAGACAAGCTGTGTTGGATGTAGTTCAGGACAAGGGAAAGGGCTGCAGATTGGAGTGTAATTAAAATTCTCATCCCAACTTTGCCCGTCTTCTTGCCAAGTCAACAGCCAGCCTTTCTGTTTGTGGTCCTGGTGATTTTCCTGTGATGACACGCATAGTTATCTCAAAGGTTCTGGCAAATTCACCTATGATGTCAGTATGCTAGCCAGATGCTTTGGCCGTGCCAGGCACTCTGCCATCTTTCTCCTGTGTTTTTGGAGGCACCCAGTCCACCACTGCCAGCATTCCTGGTGGGAAGGGAGCTTTGGGAAGAGCGAGGGATGCAAAGAGAGCTGATTACAGGTGGAGAAACAGTCTCACCCCAGCTTAGAGAGTATTCCAAACTGCTTCTGTGTTTCAGAGAACTAAGTGGGATTTCTGAGGCTGGGCTGCTCTGATGTCATCCTGGCCCACCATGAGGCTCTTCCTGCTTTGTGTCTACATGCTACTCCTGAGGATCTCCCAGGCCAGGGCAGTCAGCTTTCCTGAAGATGATGAACCCCTTAACACTGTTGACTACCACTGTAAGTCACCCACAGCAATCTCCTTTCCTAAGAACGAACTTCTTTTAGTTTCATTTTCCAAGCCTGTTCATTTTCAGACAGAGAGATGTTTATATTGAAATGTTTTGCATATTAATTGATCTGTAATCATTTCCAAATGTTTGGAGGAAACCGAACCATTGCGTTGGGTGCTTTCCTGAAGCAACCCATACAGATAGGCTATATATTTTCAGTAAAAGGAAAAAGACCATTTGCTGACATTCACCATCTTTTATTCATTTATATTCAAGACCGTAAGAGAGGACTTTAGTTAAAACCCTTCTACAAGTAGTATATACAGCTAATCAATGCTGTCTATTGATTCTTCAGTTCCATAATCCTGACTGATGGTTTAGCCCATTTTTACTTGCAGATTCAAGGCAATATCCGGTTTTTAGAGGACGCCCTTCAGGCAATGAATCGCAGCACAGGCTGGACTTTCAGCTGATGTTGAAAATTCGAGACACACTTTATATTGCTGGCAGGTAATTTTCCTCTCGTTGGTTTATTAGATTAAAATTCTTTTCTCTTGTGGTGCTTGCATTAATGTGTCGAGTTCATGAAAAACTAATATGTGATTGTGATCAAGAACTGCAAGTAGCCAGAAATATTCACCGAGAAGAGTCAGTGTTGTGTAGTAAGAACAAAGTGCAGAGTTAAAGCCTTCAGCAGTGCTATATTATTACTCCCACCAAGAAATCATGCACCATTCTTTTCTCCTCAAGCAGCGGGGGCAAAAGTCTTTATTCTTTTTTAACTTTGAATTATTCAAGCAAATATTAGAAATATGCCTAAGCTAATACCAAGGGGCAGCTTGACCCTTGCTTAGAGAGAAAAGCTTTCTTTGCTCCCTGACAGCAGTGATATATATAAAAGTATCTCACTAATAAAAAAGTACTCTTTGTTGACTTTGTTTGAGACAAAGAAAATCCAGATGATCTCCAAAACACAATAAAGGCAGATCTGTAAAAATAAGAAGCAGCAGCTGATCATCTTTGTTCATTCCCGTGATCTGACTTATTGCATTTTTTCCAACAGGGATCAAGTTTATTCAGTAAACTTAAATGAAATCCCCAAATCAGAAGTCATACCGAGCAAGGTGAGCAACTACAGCCGCCAGATTCATTTGCATTCCCCCAGAATTTGAATAATGCCCAAGCCCTCCACACGATGTTCCCAGTTAAAATCTCAACTTTGACTTTGCTTGGTTCACACAGAAGCTGACCTGGCGGTCAAAACAACAAGATCGAGAAAACTGTGCTATGAAAGGCAAACATAAAGTAAGTGCAGTGGGCGAGTGCCTGCTAGGTTTAGTCTTTCCGGGGCTAAATATCACCAAGTCAGCATATGGGATGTCTAACGTTAACATAATGGTTACTTTCTTTAGGACGAATGCCACAATTTCATCAAAGTGTTTGTTCCAAGAAACGATGAGGTGGTTTTTGTTTGTGGTACCAATGCCTTCAATCCTATGTGCAGATACTACAGGGTAAGCATATTTTATATGCTTTGCTTTTTCGACCAGCCTTTTTTCCCTTCTCTGGTATGCTGGTAGAGTTGAATCCTTTCTGCTATAACTCAGTAATTTGTTTTAGCTCGAATGCTATAAAAGAATAAAAACAGAACTCTTCAAATAGAATTTTAATACAAATAAAGCGGTACTGCCTTCCAACAGGTACACTGAACAGATGTGACATCAGCTATTTATTTTTCTTTTGTAGCTGAATACCTTAGAGTATGATGGGGAAGAAATTAATGGCCTGGCAAGATGCCCATTTGATCCCAGACAAACCAATGTTGCCCTTTTTGCTGGTAAGAACCTTTAGTGTAATGAATGTAAATGATTAATGACATTGAAGGTACAAAAAGAATTTAAAGGAAAGAGAAAAGCTTGTGAGTTGGATAGACATCTTGATGCAGGCATTTCAGAGGCTAAAGCCTATCAACAAATTTTTTAAAAACACAAAGTCAAAAGCAAGGCGGTTTAAGTGACTATGACAAGCTTTCTGACGTGTGGTTCTGTTAACTAAGCTGGTAACCCTGAATAAGTTGGTTAACTTTGGATGTTTAGATCCCTCATCTGTAAAATTAGGTAACACCATGGGCCAGCCTGCTAGAGGTTGAGAGCAAGCATCAGATGCTGGGTTGTCCGTGTGGGTCCCAGGAACACAGGTGAATAGGATGCAGAGGCCGTAGCAGGCTGCTTAGGCTAACACACTGCAGGATAATTATGGTGATTTACCAAATTATAACTTTGGTTCAGATGGGAAGCTGTATTCTGCCACGGTGGCTGACTTCTTGTCCAGTGATCACGTTATTTATCGAAGCATGGGTGATGGATCTGCCCTTCGTACAATCAGATATGATTCCAAGTGGATAAAAGGTACCTTGGAAGATCGATGTCCTGTGGTCCTTGGGGAGAGCAGTCCAGGCTACAAGGAAGCTGTGTGCGTGACTTTGTCGTGTTCCTGTGAGCAAGTACACAGGGCTGTGGCTGTGAGTGGGAGCCTTGCTGGGGAAAGAGATGAGGTGGACTTTTAGGAGAGTAAGCTCACCCAGATAGTTATCTAGGGTGATCTGAAACACACACACACACACACACACACACACACACACGCCTGTGTGCACACAGACATGCACATGCACCCTCACAAACCTAGAGACAGAGCCTGTCTTTGTCTACCAGTTGTCCAACTCTAAATGCACATACAACTCCTTGTCTGCTTCCACAAACCTACCTTGGAGAGCTAACCGTGAGAAAGGATTAGTCCATATCTACACATAGTCATTTTTTTTTTCTTTACATTCTAGAAATCAGGATTCTTTTTTAGTCTTGGTATCAGAGGTTTTCCTCCCTAGTTAAATAGGTTAATGAATAAATCTGTTGAAACACAGACCTTCGCTGTAGTTCAGTTCCCTGTAGGCCTTTTTACAGTCCATTAGCTGACTTTAAAAATGCTGGGCTCCCTGAAGCTTGAACGTACCCATATCTGGGACTCCTCAAAATCTCTACCTTGTATGTAACTATGCAACATCTGCCCATCATACCTTTCAGTCAGGGTCTTATTATGCTAATTGCATTATCCTTGAGGAACTAGTTTGTTTCCAATTTCTCTTTCAGAGCCACACTTTCTTCATGGCATAGAGTATGGAAACTACGTCTATTTCTTCTTTCGAGAAATCGCCGTAGAGCATAATAATTTAGGCAAGGCAAGTATCTGTGCTTGGTTTGTATTGTGGACTTCCTCTGTGTGGAATTGTGGTCCCTCTGGCAGCGTGATGGATGCTCTCCTGGACCACTCTCCAGCACTCAGCTCAGTGCACAGGAGGCCAAGTGTGGCGCTGGGTGCTTATCATGGGAATAATTGCTGGGAAACACCTGAACAATGGCTGGAACGGGAACAGCAACCTTGGGCCTTGAGCAGCTTTCTCACTTTTTTTCTGTCACAGACAACGTATTCTACAGGTACCCTTGAGCTAGGGAGGCATCTTTTCCTCTTTAGAAATCCACTGATAGCCTGGTCTTTTGCGTTGTCAAAAGGCAGTGGGAAAGGAGGGGCTCCTGCCCCAGTTAGAGTATTCAGGGAAAAGCTTGCGTGATCTTAAAGCCTTGCAACCGCTTTACGCCCAGGGTACAACCGGCACATTTCATTAACAATGTGAGACGCAAATTCAGAGCCTGAGTGAGGGAATGGCTTTCATTCAGAACTGCAGATAGATAGCTCCTGTCTTGGGGAGCGTGTTTGGCAGAACAGGAAATTGCCCCTTTTTTCTTGAAGGCAAATGTAGTTTACATTCTTACCGTACAGACTCCTAAGGAGAAGGCTGCTAGATTCTTTTGTACCAGATACCTTTAGCATTTTTTGGTCCCTCTGATAAATAGCTGCTTTTTGTCTGCATCCCTCTCCAGTGCTCCTAACCCCATTGCTTTGCTTTTGTCCCTGGGCAGGCTGTCTATTCCCGCGTGGCCCGCATATGTAAAAACGACATGGGTGGCTCCCAGCGGGTCCTGGACAAACACTGGACTTCGTTTCTGAAGGCTCGGCTTAACTGCTCTGTCCCTGGAGATTCGTTCTTCTACTTTGATGTTCTGCAGTCTATCACAGACATCATACAAATCAACGGGGTCCCCACTGTGGTTGGGGTGTTTACCACACAGCTCAACAGGTAAGAACAGGTGCCTGGGGCTTCAAAAGCTGCTGTGAGCTCAGGACCAAGCACAGGGCCATTGTCCCCAGCCTCTTCCTGATGGGCTTTCTTCCTTTGCAGCATTCCTGGTTCTGCAGTGTGTGCATTCAGCATGGACGACATAGAGAAAGTATTCAAAGGACGATTTAAAGAGCAGAAAACTCCTGATTCTGTTTGGACAGCAGTCCCTGAAGACAAAGTACCAAAGCCAAGGTAAAGGAAAAAGTTGAGAAAGATTTTGCCTGGAATAAAATTCTGTGGCCATTTGAAGCATCCATCCATCTGTGCATACATCTGTCCTCAGAGAGCAAAGGGGCTTCCCTCCCCGGAAGGCCCCTCTGTGGCAGGTCTTTCACAGTACGTGGCCCCTGTGAGCCATCCCCATCCCGTGCTTGGAACCTGAGCAGCCCGCTGAAGGCAGCGGGGTAGCATAGCCACTCTGGTCTTGCGTTCCCTCTCTCCTCCCTTGTCTTCTTCTCTCAGAACGTGCACTTGCTCCCTGTACCCACAGTGGGGGTGGCGAGCAGTTAGAGGACACTGTTTTCCTTTTAGGCCCGGGTGCTGTGCAAAACATGGCCTTGCTGAGGCGTACAAAACCTCCATCGAGTTCCCCGATGAGACCTTGGCCTTCATCAAGTCCCACCCGCTGATGGACTCCGCCGTTCCCCTCATCGCCGATGAGCCCTGGTTCACCAAGACTCGTGTCAGGTGAGCCGGTGGGGGAAGGAAGCAGGGGTCGCCCCTGTCCACCCCGTGCATCCGAGGGCTCCTTCCCCATTGCCCAGGGTGACTCGGCCCCCTCCCCCCGCAGGTACAGACTGACGGCCATCGCTGTGGACCACTCCGCGGGGCCCCACCAGAACTACACTGTCATCTTCGTTGGCTCTGAGGCCGGTGTGGTACTTAAAGTGTTGGCAAAGACCACTCCCTTCTCTCTGAATGACAGCGTGTTACTGGAAGAGATTGAAGCCTACAACCACGCGAAGTAGGTGTATTTTACAAGAACGCCACTCACACATTTCCCGAGTGTATCTCATCCTCTGATTTCCCTGCAGCCCTCTAACTTAGCTGTGGTTTGGCATATTAGTATTTGGGATTTCTTTTCCCCTTACTGAAAGAAATCCTGCACTTGGGTTTTTGTCTTGTTTTGGTTTGGTTTTTTCCTGAGCCTATTAAGGTGAGGAAGGTGAACAGTTGATAAGTTTAAAAAATATTTTCAGCCCTTGTTTTTTCACCTGTAAAGATGAGAACATTTTAGCACTTCTGCCCTTACCTTGCAGGTGTGTTTCAGAAGGCTGTGTGTGGCAGACGGCCTAAGCACACGCACACATACACACACACTCATGCACACACATACACACACACACACACACAAAGCATATTGATAGTTTGGTGTTTTCTGTCAATCACTGAGATAGAGATGATGGAGACAATTAAAGCAAATATGAAATATATGAGAAAAATGAAACAAGGGAGGCTAAAGAGAGATCCAGAAATGTTTTGCAGGAAGGATTTGAATGCGTTAGAACATCCTTCTTTTCATCCTCCGTCCTCCGTAAATACAGTTCCCTTTCACCTCATAACAGGAGAACAATCTTCAGAAAACCCTTAGTCCAACCTTGGACCAGCCATGCAGAGTCACAGCGTTGAATCACAGAGTTATTATTTCCCAAACTTTGTACCGGCCTATTTTCCTACTAAGGGTATTTTATTTCTTAAGGTGGCCCCAGCTTGTAGGAATTGCAAAACTAAACAGTATGCAGTTTGTGTTGCTTCTGACCGGCCAAACTTGTGACCTCGAAATGTTTCCTCTAAAATAGGTGCAGTGCTGAGAATGAGGAAGACAAAAAGGTCCTCTCGTTACAGCTGGATAAAGATCACCACGCTCTGTATGTGGCTTTCTCCAGCTGCGTCATCCGAATCCCCCTCAGCCGCTGTGAGCGGTACGGATCGTGTAAAAAGTAAGCGCATTTTTTAGGGTTTTTGTCCCCCTGGTGGTATCGGGGATTGAGCCAATGGCCTTCACAATGAGCTATATCCCTAGCCCTTCCTTGTGTTTTATTTTGAGACACGGTCTCGATCTCGCTAAATTGCCCAGGTTAGGCTTGAAATTGCCTCAGCCTCTCAGAGTGCTGGGATTACAGGTGTGTGCTTATTTACGTGAGGTCTGGTACTGTGGAAACCTGTGATGGTGAGAAAATCCAAGTCACATTCTGTTTGGCTGTGTGCAGGTCTTGCATTGCATCTCGGGATCCCTACTGCGGCTGGTTGAGCCAGGGAACCTGCGGGAGAGTGACCCCAGGAATGCTGTAAGTATGCGTTGCGTGTGGGCCGTGAACTGTCTTCTCCAGGATCTTGAAAGCCAGGTGTTTTAGAATAGTAACTTTTTTTTTGTTGGTATGGGAGAAGAAATAGAAATAAGAAAACCTTAACTATGAGAATGGGGAGCGTAGGGCTAACAGTACTCAAGGGAGATGGTCACAGAGAAAAACCGAATTCTGTTCTATTCTGGTCTCATAGACACCCAGTTCAGTTTTTAACAGAATAGACAATTTAGCAAGTTGGGTAGCAAGTCCTTTCTTACTAACCAGTCTGTGTTCTTGGTTCTGCTCCATTGTCACTCGGGTCCTATGAAGGCTGCTAACTGAAGACTTCTTTGCTTTCCATAACCACAGCACTGGAGGGTACGAACAGGACACCGAGTACGGCCACACGGCCCACCTAGGGGACTGCCATGGTAAGATGCCACCTTCCGTCCCACCCCCCACTTCTTTTGACTTCATTTGCACGTGAACATTGTTTTACAAGCAGCCTTTGTAAGGACGCGGGACACATACCACCTAGCATTTAACTTAAACTTCGCAAAAGTCAAGCCGTTTGGTCATGGGGGTGCAGTTGCAAAGAATCTTACTTTTTCTTTTCCTTCGCTGTTGACAGTTTTGTAGAAAAATCAAGAGAAAGGTAGTCTAAACAGTAGGTAAATCTTCTAGTTCGTAGTCCTTTCTTTTGGCTTTTTTAGTTAATTGGAATTCATAAATTTTTTGCTTTCTTTTCGTTACTTTTCACTGATTACTTGTTCCTTTAATTCTTTTAGAAATTTTGCCTACTTCAACTACACCAGATTACAAAATATTTGGCGGGCCAACATCTGGTTAGTTTTTTTTAATTTGTTTGAATTAACAACCTTTTCTTTCCTTCAGTTCAGCATTTTCAGCCCCTTCTCCCCTCCTTTTGCGCAGTTTGGCAAACCTTCATTTTTTCGCTTTGACTCATGATCCCACTGACAGCACCAAAAGACTCTGCCTCACTCAGCACTCCACCCCTGTGTAGCATGCGAACGGTTCATCATCGACCAAGGCACATCCTTTAAGAAAAGTCAGCTGGGTCGACATACACCCCATTCCTGCTGCACGCACACCTGCCCACCCTAGCTTTCCTCTCTCTCTGTCCCCCTTTGCATCATGAATGACCCCTCCAGCCATCTATCCTGAATGGATGGCAGGATTTCATAACGTTCTCCCTCCCTCCTCGCCTTTCCCAAGACCTAGGAACCAAATACACATTTCCCCCAAATGTGTATTTGTGAGTTTTTAACGATCTCTTCCGGAATGTTTTGCGATAATCCCGGGACTCTTGGAATGTCGTGTGTCAGTGGTATGGTAGACGCTTCAGAAGGAAGCAAGCTGGGTTTGGATATGCTGAGATGCCAGTGAGTTCTTCCTGTCCCCTGTCTCTGCCTGTCTGGGACTGTTGCACTCGTCCAAATTGGGTCATGGGTTTTAGCCTAAAATCGTATGCTTACGTTTAGAGAGAAAGATGCTCGGTGAAGGGAGCTGAGAGAGCTAAAAGATGAAGTGACTCAGCCCCACCACTGCTCCTAAGGCTGACAGCAGTTCCTATCCTTTGCGGGAGAAAAGGATGGTGGATCTTCTGTATCCAAGCATTCCCATTCAGTTTGTGAATCCCACTGCTTTTGCGTGAGTTGCTGCTAACTCCTTCGAAGCAACTCCCCAAGTATTTTGGAAAACACAAGCGAAATTCTCCATTGGTCCTGCAAAATCCACAGGTAGACAAGGGGCCCACGGTAAAGCAGATGGACCTTTCTCAGGCAGGGCTGGTTGACCAGGTCCCGAATCAAGTGCTAACTGGGGCCAACCCTTGTGGTTTCTGATGAAATCACACTGCAGCTTCCCCAGTGAAGAAAGTAGTTTTGAAGCATCTGGAAAATCTTTTTTCAAATGCGCACACAAAGCACAGAAATAAAGTGACGTCCTGTCACAAGAGGACGGGCGGCCTGCAATTAATCTGCGCTGGAATTTGTTTTACCTCCTCCACAAGTCGCATGAATACCCACACGGGCATGAGTAGGAATGTCTGAATGTCTTTCGTTTTGAAATCTGCTTAATATATCTTTACTGTTCGTTTTTTAGTTTGTATTCTTCTCTTGCAAGAAAGGGATTTGGTGTAGACTCCTCAGGTGTGTTTTTACAGAACCCTAGATCAAACCTCATAGCTTTGACTTAAACTTTACTGCACAATGCTACAGACCGATGAGCAAAGTCTTCCGACGCTTCCCATGTTAATAAACATCTGTTTGCCACCACAGACATGGAGGTATCTTCATCTTCTGTTACCACAGTGGCAAGTATCCCAGAAATTACACCTAAAGTGATTGATACCTGGAGACCTAAACTGACGAGCTCACGGAAATTTGTAGTTCAAGATGACCCAAACACTTCTGATTTTACTGATCCTTTATCGGGTATCCCAAAGGGTAAGGTCTCACCAGGGAACTCATCTGTAACTGTGTGGAAACCTGATTCCGAGCATGTGGTTCTCAAAGGCATCCCTGGCCGCCACCTCACTGACCACAGTGACTTGGGGCGGCTGTGGTTCTGTCTGCATGTGTATCGGACAGATGAAAGGTCTGGAAGGCCCCTCACACACCGGGCTCGTGACCCAGCCCCTTGGACAGTCTAGCCTGTGTTGATTTCTGTCTGAAGGAGCTGAGAGACTGCTGAGTATCTGGGAATTTCAAGGGTCGCCCTCACAACATCAGAAACCACAACTCATGAATGGCGATCATCTGAGTATCAGATGTGTTGTCAAAGAACCTTTCCCGGCCTCTTGTTTAGCTGCGATTCAGAATGCAATGTGAAAGACTATGCGCGGTGACAAGTTGCTTGAATGCCACAAGCAATAAACTGCAGCAGTGCTTGTCCCCTAGTATCGCCTTCAGCCCATGAGAGAAGCAGTGATGAAACAGCTGCCTGTTAAGCTACTTAATGCGATATATTACTCAAAAAAAAATATTTCTCAGGGCTACTAAGTTGTGGTATCAGGTTTCCAACCAGTTTTTATGGCACTGCTTTGTCATTTATGATTTACATCTGTTGATTTTGATTTATATATTTTCATTGTAAACCATTTCATCATTCTTCTGTCTGCTTTATTTTCTTTAGCAACACCATTTGTTTCCACTTTTCTTTTCTTGGTTTTTCACAATGCCACTAAATTCCATAACCCCAGACATGGAGTGTAAACAACTAATGTTCAAAGGCCTTCGTACTAACCTGGAGCAATAGAGTTTTCAAAACCGACTGACCGACTTATTCTGGGATAGCTGTATGTGTAGCATGTAACAGACTTGGATACCTCTTAAACTAACATTTCTTGGATTGACTGTTAGATGTCTGTGGTTGCATTAAAAATTCCAGTATTTACAAACTAATTCAATCTTCTCCTTCTAGGTCTAATTTGAGTATTTCTCAGTATTTCCAGATAACTTAATGATATCACTTAACTAATACGTAGCTTAGTTTCTTATTCTGTCTAGATTATTTTTATACAGCAGGTAATTCAAGAGTGCTTCTCCCCAAGACGGAATAAAAAAAGAAAAGCGAACCAAACAGGAAACTCTGTATTTGTAGCTAACAATGACCAAGTGGTTGTTTTAGTTTGTGAACAGATTATGTGTTTGTATTCTAGTGAGGTTAGTACAATTGTATTAGCATAATTATTTAAAGTTAATATATTCCTATGCTAAGTCATACATTTTTCTAAATCCCTTCAGCAACTTCCCTTTAGTCTTGATTTGTGAATTAGGAGAAAAATCATGAGACTAAGCATTTCATGGAATTAAAATTGGCCATTTAGAAAATGCACACTTTCTCCCTCTATTTTTTAGGCAGAAACTCTGGAAATTTCTAGCATGTATTTAAGAGAGATTGGGGGGAAGGTCAGAAAAACACAGGTTGGTGGGAGATTAGAGTCATCCTGGCGTTTGAGAGATCATGTGTGTCTCTGGGGACCCTCTTGTAGTGAAGGAAAAAAGACTGCGGAGTATTGGCCTCTGTTGGACCCTCTGAGTTAAGCATATGAGGGTAGTGTGGGCTTGGTAGAAGCCATTTGTTCTTTGACACTGTTTGTAAAAAGCACTTCATTCAGAGCCTCCTGTGTCTGCTGCAGGTGTGCGGTGGGAAGTCCAGTCCGGAGAGTCCAATCAGATGGTCCATATGAACGTGCTCATCACCTGCGTCTTCGCCGCCTTTGTCCTGGGCGCTTTCATCGCCGGCGTGGCTGTCTACTGCTATCGGGACATGTTCATGCGAAAGAACAGGAAGATCCATAAAGATGCGGAATCGGCTCAGTCGTGCACGGACTCCAGCGGAAGTTTTGCCAAACTCAACGGCCTTTTTGATAGCCCGGTGAAGGAATACCAACAGAATATTGATTCTCCTAAACTCTACAGCAACCTGCTGACCAGCCGGAAAGAGCTGCCGCCCAGTGGAGACACGAAATCCATGGTGCTGGACCACCGCGGCCAACCTCCCGAGCTGGCCGCCCTCCCCACGCCAGAGTCCACACCGGTGCTGCACCAGAAGCCCCTGCAGGCCATGAAGAGCCACTCGGACAAGGCCCACGGCCACGGGGCTTCCCGGAAGGACACCCCCCAGTTCTTCCCTTCCAGTCCTCCACCGCACTCCCCACTCAGCCACGGGCACATCCCCAGTGCGATTGTTCTCCCGAACGCCACCCATGACTACAACACATCCTTCTCCAACTCCAATGCCCACAAAGCTGAGAAAAAGCTGCAACACGTGGATCACCCCCTCACCAAGTCATCCAGCAAAAGAGATCACCGGCGTTCTGTGGATTCCAGAAATACCCTCAACGATCTCCTGAAGCATCTCAGTGACCCCAATAGTAACCCCAAGGCCATCATGGGTGACATCCAGGTGGCCCACCAGAGCCTCGTGCTGGATCCTGTGGGGCCGATGTCTGAGGTTCCCCCCAAGGTCCCCAACCGGGAGGCCTCACTCTACTCTCCCCCATCGACACTGCCCAGAAACAGTCCAACCAAGCGAGTGGACGTCCCCACCACTCCGGGGGTCCCCATGACCTCTCTGGAAAGACAAAGGGGTTACCACAAAAATTCCTCCCAGAGGCACTCTATATCTGCCATGCCTAAAAACTTAAACTCACAGAACGGTGTTTTGTTGTCCAGACAGCCCAGTATGAACCGTGGGGGATACGTGCCCACCCCCACGGGGGCGAAGGTGGACTATATTCAGGGGACACCCGTGAGTGTCCATCTCCAGCCTTCCCTGTCCAGACAGAGTAGCTACACCAGTAACGGCACCCTCCCCAGGACGGGACTAAAGCGGACGCCGTCCTTAAAACCTGATGTACCACCAAAGCCTTCCTTTGTTCCTCAAACACCGTCTGTCAGACCACTGAACAAATACACCTACTAGGCCTCCAATGTGCTGCTCTGTGTGGCTTTATCCTGTTCGTGTCCTTGAGAGGTACCTTCAGACGAGACACCTGCTTGTATTTTAAGACAACCAACTGGCCAAAGAGACTCTCTCACTTTGGCAGCGTCAGAACTCGCCCGTGTAGCTACCGTGGCCAGGCTTCTGTGTACTTGCCCGAGAACAAAGGAAGGTGCTGGTCATTCCATTTCTTTTGTTTGACACTCACGGGCTGTGTAGCCCTGAAGGGCTACTTTGCCTGTAGAAAGAGCGGATTCAGTACTCAGAAGAATCTGTGAACAAATACTTGAAAATGGGTTCAATTCAGACTGCCATTACGCGTGGTCTTCCCATTAAATGTGAACATTTTAACTATGTATGCATTCACCTTGCCTCTTGCACAAATGTCAAAAAATAAAAAAAAGATGGTGTTGTCTCAAAGAAATGAACTTGTAGATTACCATGCAGTTTGCTGAAAATTCAGTCTTTGACCCAGACTGTAGCATTTTTTCCAACTGTAGCATGAGCATTTTTCTCATGCCACCAACAAACCGTGTTGCAGCTATGAGTGTGTATATATGTGTGTGTGTGCGCGAGAGAGATTGTGAGTTCTGTACCCACTAGGATTCGTGTAGATGCCCATTGCATCTTTCTGTGTTATGGTGTTGTTTACATTGCCGAATGAGAGACACTCCCTTCTTACAGCAGTCCTTTGGGTCCACTTCTGAGAGAGGATGCAATCCAGACTCCTTTAACACTCAAGCATGAGCTTCCTTTCCACGATGGCACCCAATGACAGAATGTAAGAGTTCCATGATTTTGTGCTGCTATCCCTCAAAACTTCTATTCCAGTCTTGCCGGCTTCCAGAGCTAGAGCTATCAAGAGGTACCCTTGGTTTATCCATCGGTAGGAAAATGTACCTGTTCGCTGTGAACCGAGGCCTGAGTCACTGTTTAACCTCGGACACACTAATAAGGGTTGATTTGGATTGTGTTTGGGGTTTTCTTTTCCCATATAGTAAAAATTTTTCACCCCTAACTCCTCCTACCCCCACGGTAAAAAATAAATACAAAAACAAAAACAAGACAAAAGAAAAGACCTATGAAAGGAATCATAATTAGCGAAACAGGAATGGTCTGTGAAAACGTGATGAGTAGTTACAATCATGTTGTCTCTGTTGTGTTCTGTGAGAATTTTCTCCGAAGTCATGCAGGTTATGACAGCGTACTGTAAATATCACATGTGAGTTTACCTGAATCTGTGCATTTTGTGCCTTATTCATGAGAAGGATAGAAGTACTAAAAGATGTCAAGTGTTTTCAATATAGCACATCATTTACTGAGTGCCACTTGTAAATGTTTTTCAACCAGCACCTGAAAAGACTTTCACAAAGGAAAAAAGAACCATAAAAATAACCTAGAACAATTCATTGGTATACAATCCGCCTGAATATCAGCATTACATCCTTTGCCGTGATACGCATTCCATGCCTACTTTCCTGGGGGTAAAGCAGTGAAATTGTGAATGAAGTCAGATGAGGTTTCTCGAGGAAAATTCCACCTGGGGAAACCGTAGAGAGTCACTGATACAGGGTTTGGCAGTATCCACTTGCAGTCAAAGTGCTTCCCCATGCCAGTCTGTTAATACACTGCAGCCACCCAATTATTTCTTGAACCTAATCTAGAAAGTAGCACACCAGAGGAAGACTCCCGACCTAGTCAGACAGTAAGTTCAGTTGATTTCTGGGATAATGCTGATGCTATATATTGCTTGGGGGAGGATGAGATTCAGAAGACCAGATCATTTTTATACAGAATGTAGAATACTGATACAGTTATTCTTTTCCTTTGAGAGCTTTGTTTGATAAAGAACCTGATTTCCTGTGATCTCAAAAGCTAAAACGTCTGTTTCTGAAACACTTCAGCTTTGCAACTAAAATATTACCGATTAATAATAAATTAAACCAACCTGTGATAAACACTACTCAGTCCACCACCAACAAACATGTGTTTGAATTTACCTTACCAATATTAATCCCAGCGTGGTAACTCTGTGTGACCCCAGATAACATTTTGTAACATTGTGCGGCCTTGTAGTTCGTGAGTTCTATCAGTATTTCTGTTGAGATTTCTAACATTGAATCTAGTCTCTATCCTGTTAATTTAATTTTTAAATGCTTTATCCATTTGTGCAAAGGTAAACACAGATTGTATCTTTTTTAATGGTACGGCATAAAAAGTAACCCTAAAGTGAAGTGGCTCTATACTGTTTTATAGAGTACTTTAACATGTATAGATATCTTGTAAACTTGTATTGTGGATGTGTAAATAATATGTACTTTGGGTTTTTAACACCGCATGTAAAGTTAAAATAAACTATATAAATCATTACTTCTTGCCTCTTAATATTAAGAGGTTTCTAATGTGATCATTTTCAATGTTATCACCACCTATGAGGATTTCTTTAAAAATCTAGTAAGATATTCCTATCTAGAATACTGGACATCTGGTTAAGGTTGCATTACCACTGTCTCCTTGGAAAGCAGATGTTGAAAGCCAGGGTCTGAAAACAAAAGAGAAATGATTCAGAAGTTCAGTTGAGCATAACAGTGCACCCAGAAATTAATAAAATAGAACTGGGTGTGGTGACACATGCCTGTAATCCCACTGCTCAGGAGAACAAGACAGGAGGCTCTCCAAGAGTTCAAGGCTAACCTCAACTAGGTAGGGAAACTCTGTTTCAAAAATAAAAGTAAAACAAGCAGAATCAAATGTTTCGGGCAAATGTACTAGCTCATACTGTCGGATATTTAGTTCAACAGAGACTTTAAATTCCCCATGTGCATTTCTGCATGACAATTTAAATGTAACGTTAGTTCAAAAGTGTATGATAAGGTTCTTGCTATTGGGTGTATGGGATTTCTCAATTCCATTGTTTTAATTGGAAAGAATCTGTTAGAAGATACAGTCCCTAAATATTGAAATGGAAAGTAAAAATGATGATCCTTTGGTTCCACCTTAGCTTATGGTCAGCTGGGGGTGGCTGTCCTTGCCCCTTGGGGACAGCGAAGGTGTCAAACCATTTCCAAGTGAATCAAGGCTGAGGCTAGCGGTCCCTGCGCTCCCCAGCTTGTCCCTGGCTGTGTCTGTGCCAGCGTCCACCGTGGCTCCCCCACACCCACATTCTCCCCACCATAGTCACAGAGCAGCCAAGCTGGAGGGCAGAAACTGCTCTTTTCCTCTGGTGGGTGTCGTCTACCCGGAGTGCTGCATCTCTGGGTCAGCTTGGTGGCATGGTGTCCTCTTCACAGGTGCGGCATGCTCTAGTCTGAGAAGGGAGGAAGAATTTGCTTGTGGGAACCCTCTGGTGGGAGACAGGCAGCTGAGCCTCCCCTGTGCCCCTTTTCACAGCTCTCTGCTCTGCAGATGTGGAGAAAGGAGTAGAGTATTGAGCTCTTGTCTTGAGAAGCCTTAGGTTCATTCCCCAGTAACCTCCACCACACGCACACACACACACACACACACACACACACACACACACACACACACTTTGTCCTTTGTGGAAGTTCTTACCCTTTTTCTGTCATGGACATCTTTAATAGTTTAAGGAAGGCTAGGAACTGCAAGTTCAATTTCACTTTCATTTTAGGGCAATTTACTATCCCCCCTAAAACCACATCTATGAATCTTTAAAATAAATGCACAGATCCTGTTTGAGAGAAGTAGGCTAAGGGGACATGGAGCTTTTCTTGCAAAGTCAGAGAGTAAAGTACAAAGAAAATGAATTAACCAAGCCAGTACACTTCTGTTCTGGCTGCAGAAATGTCATTTAGGTTACTCTAGGAAGTGGCCACTTTGAAGCCAGATGGAACACTTGAAAAAGCTGCTATAGGGACCGGGGGCCTCTCCCGTGCCAGGCTGTGACATGGTGGCCTAGATGCTGGCCTGACACCAGGAGCACTTCCCTGCCTGCATGTGAAAGAGGCCAGCTGCCCCTCTGTCCCTCTTCCCTGTCTCCCTCATCCTCCTTGCCAGCCTAGAACGAAGTGCCCACCTGAGCCCCAGGTGGGGGTGGGGAGCTGAGGTCTAGCCCTGACCCCACAGCTCATCCTTTGACCCTTTGGAACTGGAGTTCTCTCCCTTCTGAAAAGAGAAGGTTTGACATCCCTTTCTCTGCCAGTTCTGTGCTCTCTGTCAAGTCCGCAGTTCTGTTACTTTTATGAGTGCTATGTTTAAATATCACTTGTTCAAAAGCTCGGTCTGTAGGCTATTTATGGGTGTTGAAGCCTGTTTCCTGTTAGATCTGTGATATACGTGAGAATAGCAGTAAAGTGAGCTGTGATAAACAATGTACTTTTAGCTATTTAGCTTGGATCTATAGTTGATATTTACCCTTTTTGCATATATAACCTGTTAAAGACTTCAGTCTCTGCTAGAGTTGCATTCTTTATTAAACAGATATGATACCATAAGCAAAGAGGAATGGACCTATAATAAAATAAATCTAATTCTTTCGGGGCAGGGGATGAAAGGGGAGGTAGGTAATGTACTGGATATTCAGACATGAATCAACTAGAATTCACATACAAAGGAAAATAGCATATTTCTAGCCCCTGTCCTATGTTATAATTCTTTTTAAAATTAGATATTGATCACAGGCTGATAAATCTCTGGAACATGCACTTGAGTGCATCTTAGATGCTTAGGCTGGGATTGGGTGAAAGTATAAGAATACAGGATATGTTCTATGTGCGCTGCTGTTCATACGGGCAGATGTTCTCAATGCTTCAACCCAGTTAGAGGAGCGGTGAGGGAAGACGCACGAGCGTCACGTAGCCCCGCCCGCTGGAACTTCCTGTGCTGGTGGAAAACGCCTATTACTGTACCAATCACCAGAGTAGCTTTCCCCTGCTCGGTTCCTGAGCGCTTGAAACGTGTGCCGTGCCCAGAGCCGCTTCCCACACTGGACGTTGCCAGTCTGGAAGGCAGCATTCTTCGGGCAGGGAGGATGTAACTCTGCTTAAAAGATGAGACATGCCTTGTACGTTTTTGTGTTTCTACCCTTGTGCCTCACAGAGATTAGAGCTGGCATTTAATCGCCCAGCTAGTCACAGAACTAGGTTGAGGTGTGTTCTCCTAATTAAAAGCGATATTAAGCACATCCGCTGGGCTCTCATAAAGCATGGACGCGTGCCCAGTGCGAACAGCCTTCTCTCTGAGCCCTATTCAACTAATCCCAACCATGCTCTCTTTTCTTGAAAACGAATGAGGTGTGATTCTCATTTTCAAGGTGCAGGGTCAGCAAGGCTGCGACCTCTGCGGAGATGCAATGGGCAGCCTCTGCACAAACCCACGTTCACTCACGTAGTCTCACACTGAGGCCTGGTCCACAAACCACCACCGTCTGTAGCAGGGTTGGAAGGGAGCACCCACATTCGCTCAGACAGGGCGGCCTCTCTCCAGTACTTCATGTTTAGTGAGAAGCAAAATGGTGGAATCATTACAGTGCCCTGGGGTAGGTGCCAAGCTTCCAGTGAAAAAAGCAACATTCAGTGAAATCAGTCACAGAACATGCCAAGTGAATTATCTGAAAAAAAGAATTAGTAGATTGCATTTACACCATAGGGCACGGAAACAACCAGAGGAGATGAATTCAGAGACATAAGGAATTAGACTGATGTGTGTCCAAACTGTACCCACCTAAGTTTCTGGGCTTCCTACCAGATTCACATCTGTGGACTGTCAGAGGGACTCTGGGGAGAACTCATTTCTTTCTCATTTTTAAATTTTTTCATACTTAGCTTCAGTTGCATATTGGGAAGGAAACAGGAATATAATTTTTCCATTAGTCACTAGGGCTGGGGGAGCTACAGGGTTCAGATTTTCTCTCCAGGAGAACATTTTCTGATCAGTTCAGCTGCCTTGGCTTTTTCAAGGCAGAAAATCAGCACGTAGATAATGTCTGTTGATGAAAGAAATTAGAGGATGACCCCTGAGGTGTCGCTTGAGTCAGGTGATGGGGCCTGGCCAGATATTTGCACCGTTGATGCTAACAAGCACTGTGGAAGCATAGACTCCATCTCAAAATTGCAAATCAGGATGCCAAGTAAGAGGATTAGCGCATTTAGCCATTCTCAAAGGAGCATACATGGGCTTGGGAGACAGCTTTTGAAAGTATGAACAGGAAAAAAAACCCTTGGGATGCTTTCACAAATTTGAAAATCCTGAGTGGTAGTGAGCATTTGGGATACAAATTAGGCTGCAACTCTCAGTGACATCTTAGGTTAAGAGATACGACCATTCACTGGTCCAGCCATGTGGTTTTACTAGTCATTATGTACCTGGGGTGATTCATAAGATTAAGATCAAAATGTTAGTTTCCATCTCACTTGATAATAACCTCTTTGTGTTACTCAAGTTACTGCCGGCTCTAAATAATTCCATCAAATTTCCAGGATTCAGTAAAAAGTTATTTCCAATTATCTATGGAACCCACCTCCATGGAGGTAAAAATTAATTAAACGTGTAACGTTTGCTTATTTCACATAAGTATTTATCATAAATGAATGAAAATAGCAAAATACTAAAGCTGAAGAATATAGAATTCACATTATTTTAAATATATATTGATACATAAAAATATGAATCCAAAAATCAAACAGAAATTTTAAAAGCTAGTGATGATTGTTGAAAATGATGTATCATTATAAAAAATGGCTCATTCAAACACATATTTTTTTAAAATCTTGGTAAGTTTTTATTCAAGTGTGCTTTTAAGACATAGAAAAGGAAATATCTTGGAAATCACACTGACTTTTTAGTTAACTGGTCTCAAAAATAGCAATGAAAAAGAAAATATCTATGAGTAAACTTTTAAAATCTCAAGATAAAAATGAAAATCCACACTACTTGTTCGGGAAACAAGATAAATAAAATGATATTCTATGTTCTTGGTTAGTAAGAACATATTAATGATGTCAAGCCTTCCCAGCTTGAACGAACTTAATGAAAACACTAGCAGGTTTTTCTTAGAAGAAAATGAAGGCGGTCTCCATCTACTGCCAAAAGTGAACTCCTGAAGGCTTGATTTAGCTACAGGGAGATGGCAATGATTATGGTCCACCTTGATGTTTTTGGTTTCTTAAGTGTCTGAACAAAGTCTGTCTTTCTCAGCGGGAGTTGTGAGGGTCTAGGATGTGGAAAATGTAAAGATAGCAGAATCCAGGAAAAAGGCTTCTCTGGAGAGAACCAGGTCTTAGGCACAGTTGCCCGGGTAGGATCGAGTCATCTTCTCCTGTCCAACAGGGAAATGGCTCAGAAAGCTGGAAAGCCCCATTTCCTCTTTTGTCTTCTCCAGATCCAGACTACAGAAAGCAAGCAGCCGACGCCGC